CAAGGGAGGCCATGCCCCCCTCCCATGGCCAGTCCGAATTGGACTAGGGAGGGGGCACCCCCTCTTTCCTTCTCCCCTCTTCCTCCTTCCCTCCTTCCCCCTCTCTTGGATGGAAGGGGACTCCAACTAGGATTGGGAATCCTAGTTGGACTCCCCATGGCGCGCACCTCCTCTAGACCGGCCTCTCCTCCTCCCCCCTTTATATACATGGGGGGCATCCCAAAGGACACACAAGTTTCTCTTAGCCGTGTGCGGTGCCCCCCTCCACAGTTACACACCTCGGTCATATCGTCATAGTGCTTAGGTGAAGCCCTCCGCCGGTAACTTCATCATCACCATCACCACGTCGTCGTGCTGACGGAACTCTCCCTCGACCTCAACTGGATCAAGAGCTTGAGGGACGTCATCGAGCTGAACGTGGAGGTACCGTACGTTCGGTACTTTGATCGGTTGGATTGCGAAGATGTTCGACTACATCAACCACATTACTAAACGCTTCCGCTTTCGGTCTACGAGGGTACGTGGACACACTCTCCCTGCTCGTTGCTACGCTTCTCCTAGATAGATCTTGTGTGATCGTAGGATTTTTTGAAATACTACGTTCCCCAACATTCTCCTCGACCATCTCCATCTCCTCGGCCGCGGTCTTTTTCTCCTCGTGGCGCCGCCCTCCGCCGCTTGGCCTCACTCCTCTCCTCTATTTCCTTGAGCTTCAACATTCTTTTTTCTTCGGCATACTCTTTTCTCGCCATGACAATGGCATCAAATCCGTCCTTGAGATCACTGTCTCCGGCCTTGGCTCCCTTCACTTTCTTGTTTCCATCGGGCCTATAAGATTTTTTCACGGAGTGAGAAGTGGGGCTCCTTCTCTCCTCACCGGCGACATCTTCTTCATCCTCAATCACCACACTCTTCTTCGAAGCATCAAAAGTATATCTAGTTTTCCACTTATCCTTATCCCTGAGCTCTTTGTAGCAATGATGGAAAGCGAAAGCTTTTCCTTTCTTCTTCTTCTCGCCTTTCGTGTTCCTCTCTCGAAACAATCCTTGTGAAATCATTTTCTACAATAAAACAACCAACACGTCATCATCAAAATGTGGAACAATCCAATATTTGAGAAAGCACGCACAAAGAGAAAATATTTACCAAGTCACTATCACCGCAACCACTTGGGTTCATGCGAGCAACATTTGACAAGCAACCGAGCCACTTTTGGCATTCGGCATTGATGGTGGACCAACGTTGACGAAGAGAGTCGCTCGAACGGAAGTGACTGCTTGTGTTGCGCTCATCGAAGTAATCCTTGATGCGTTACCACTAGGTGTTTACCGTTTGGTCGCTTTCAATGGATGCATCTTGAGAGACTTTCTTCCATGCGGTGCACATCAACACATCCTCCGCATTGGTATAATCTCCACTTCTTGCCTTCGCAACAAAGCCCTCATCGTCCATGTCAAGATTGGCATCACCATATTGGGTTTCATATTCTTCTTGTGACACATACTCATGCAACACATAATCACCATTTGCCACATTTGTCACGTGCATGAAAGCTTCATCATCAAGACTACAATTGGACGTACAGACATTCAAGATCACATTCAATTTGAAACAACAAACGAGAGTACAAAAGATTTTTTTACCTTTGCGACATATCATCGAACATGTCGGAGGTTGTGGTCGTCGGCGTGGCCACATCTTTCTCCACGGCCGGCGGTGGCGGCGATGGAGGTCGAGGAATGGTTCCTTGGCTGCTGGAGGACGCCACCGGCCGTGGCTGCGAGTCGTCGGCCTGAACCACCGCGGCTACCTTCAAGATTTTGGCCGACTGAGACGCACTTTCAGCCAGGTTGCGGCCGCGATTCGCCGACCGTTTGCCTCCGCCTCGTGCCTTCGTCGCCTTCGCAGGAACCGCCGGCGTGGTGGCGACCGGCCGGGGCGACGCAAATCCGGGCCGGCGGGTGGGGGGCGGCGCAAATCCGGGCCGGCGGGCGGGGGGCGCCGGCATGGACGCGGTCGCGGAGGGCGAGTTCGCCGTGACGGCGGCGGCGGAGAAGTTGGCGGGGTCGTTGGTTCGACCATGACGGGCGGGCAGGGAAATGAAATGAACGGGCGGTTGGCGGTTTCGAGGCGGCCACGGTTTTACATCAGTTGTCTCTCGTGCTGCAAATTTGCATCACGAAGTATTGCATTTTACATCTTCGAACGGCGTGATGTATTTTTTTTACATATGGACCATGTGTTAGGAGCAGCTTTTTTTGCTCTCTAAACTCTAAAAGTTGGTTATTTTTACATATGGACAGTCTATTGGACATGCTCTAAAGAGAATACAAAGCTATCTCTTTTTTTAACATAGTACAGACGCAAGCTCTCATATACACGCACATATACTCACCTCTATGAACGCACACACGCACACCCTACCCCTATGAGCATCTCCGAAGGACTGAGCCGGCATATCACTTTGAAATTTATGAAGTCATCGTAGGCACCTTGTCATCAACGGGAACGTCTCCTCCCACTAAATGCGCATCACCGAAAATTCTGAAATAAATTCAGAAATAAATACGAGCATCAGGACTTACCCATCCAACCACAGATTCATTCGCAATACAGAGCTATCTCGATCCTATAACAAAATACCACGACTCGTATATGAGCCGGCCTAACAGCCATCAGGGAATATCTTCAACAATTACAACTTCCACCCGTACGCGTCCTCGATCACAACGACGGAGCAGCTCTTGGTTGGACTCCGATCCACCAGGCGAAACGACCCCGACTCTTTTTTCGCGGAGGCAAAACAGAAACGGAATCGACCGGAAGCCCGTGCATGAGATCCGGATCCGTTATAAATATCTCTCGCCTCGCGACGCCGGCGCCTCCGCCCGTGTTCTTCTTCCCCCCACCGGCCCGCCAGCCAACCATAGCCCCTCCCACCTCTTCCCCTCACGAGAAAGCGCATCCCACCCGGCCGCGCGCGCCTCCTTATAACATCTCGTTCATCGACCGCCATGGCCCGTCGACCGAGCCCGTCGGATCCACGCAACCGAGAGGCCGAATTAGTCGACTAGGCTGCTGTTCTAGGGTTCACATCGCTTGATCAATCCCGGCGTCCCCCACATTGGTCAATGGGGTCCAAGGAGAAGGGGAAGCGCGGGGATGGAGGGGCGTCGCCGAGGGCGAGGAAGGGGGAGTTCCCCATCCGCGCCGAGGATTACGAGCTGATGGAGCCAATCGGCGACGGCGCCACGGCCGTCGTGCGCCGCGCCCGCTGCCTCCCGCTCGGCGGCGAGGTCGTCGCCGTCAAGATTATGAACCTCTCCCTGCGCTCCGAAGCCGACGTCGTACGTGCCTGCCTCCTCCACTCAATATATATCAATCAATTCCCCTGCGCACTAATCGGCGTCTCCCATGCAGAATAACGCCTCTGAAGAGGTCAAGACCATGATCCTGACGGATCACCCCAACCTCCTCAGCGCCTACTGCTCCTTCACCCAGGACGAGAACCTGTGGATCGTCATGCCCTACATGGCCGGGGGCTCCTGCTTCCACCTCATGAAATCCTCCTTCCCCAAAGGCTTCGAGGAGGAGAGGTTCATAGCCTTCGTGCTCCGTGAGACGCTCAGGGGCCTCGAGTACCTGCACGGCAAAGGCCACATACACCGAGACGTCAAGGTAATTGAGCAGAGCTCTCCCGGTACTGAATTTGAAGATTACGTCGCTTCGTATATCTGTGAATCGTTTTCATGTTTCGGGCGTGAACACAGGCTGGAAACATATTGCTTGATCAGCACAAAGGAGTGAAGCTTGCGGATTTCGGAATTAGCGCCAGCGTTTATGACTCGATGATCAACAGGAACGGCAAAAGGCACACGCTTGTCGGCACGCCCTGCTGGTAGTATCTTCAAAGTTGTTGTTTATTTTGCCAATGGGTTGATGATTCCGCAGCTCATGAACAGTGTACTGACATTCTACTGACTCAGAGTTCTGTTTGTTCTCAAGGATGGCACCTGAAGTGATGGAGCAAAAGGAATACGACTTTAAGTAAATTTTTATTTGTCTGCCTTTTTACCACAGGTTAGTTGACTATGTTTTTTATACGGGTTGCTTAACCGGACATACAAAAAATTATTCGCAGGGCAGACATTTGGTCTTTCGGAATAACTGCACTAGAACTAGCTAATGGCCACGCCCCTTTCTCTAGCCAACCTCCAGCAAAGGTATTAGTTTACCTTGATATATTTTACATCAACTTAATGTCTGTGACAAGTTACCGAGGTTTCTGAAATGACATGTAGGTCTTTCTTATGACGTTACAACATGCTCCTCCATCTCTTCATAACACAAAGGACAAGAAGTTTTCAAATGTAATCTTGATATGATCTCTTATAATCTTAGATGCACACATTGGCCTATGCTTACTCGTTCCTACCTTTTTATGTAGTCATTTAAGCGAATGATTGGTGCATGTTTGATAAAAGATCCATCCAAGAGGCCAACTGCGCAAATGTTACTGCAACTTCCGTTCTTCAAAAAAGTGAAGTCCGAGGATAATCATGTAAAATGCATGCTAAATAAAGTGCCATCTTTGGTTGCTAGGGTGCAAACTATAAATGTATGAGACGACATTCATTTGCCTTCTCTATTGATCATTTTTATATGCGCACATATATGTAGTGTAATTTTGTGTCAATTATTTTTGAGCAGGAGAATGAAGCAAAGTTGCAAGCAGAGAAGAAACCACACGATAAAATCAAAGAGAAGACATCACATGTTAGTATCTCTATAGACTTCTTTCCTTAGCTAAGAGCATCTTTACCATGCCGCAAATCGGACACACTAAATGTCCGCGGACCCTAATACGGGAGCTCGCCTTCCAAATTCATACCTCAAATATCCGCTTCTATTGACTTAAAAAAAATACTAGCAGTGCCTTCCGCCAAATAACAATGGCCTTCAGCCAAATAGTCATGATTATACAATGGCCTTCCGTCAGATAAGAACCACTAGCAATGGCCTCCAGCCAAATAACTTTGACCTTCCGTCAAAGTTGGTCTCCTTCTGCCAAATAGCAGCGGCCTTCCGCCTTCCTGCGCGGATGGAGAGGAGAGAGGGGTAGTGGCATGGGGTACATGATGGCTTTTGATTGTCCAGGCGGACGTCGTACAAACCTCCCCCAGGTTTCTTCTAGTTTAGTGAAATTCGGCCATGCGGACATGTACGCTGACTTATACGGCACTACGTTGGATGACAAAAATGGTCCGAACACTGGTTTGGATATTTGCGGGTGATTTGAGGTTCATCGTTGGAGATGCCCTAAGATTTGTAAGATAACCACATTTTGTAGTGCTCTTCACTAGGCAGTCGATGAATTATATATTTTACTTTGGGAATTTAGTTTACACTTGAACCTAAAAGAATTGATGTATTTAATCAAATCATTGGTTTAAATTAGTTACATTTCCTTAATCTCTTGGTCTATCTTCGAGCTATGATACTGCCCTTTAAATGTACCGTCCAATAATTAAATTATTTCAATTCTCAAATATGCAACAGGACGAATATTGGAGAGGTATTAGTCAGTGGCACTTTGATATCGAGGACTTGAAAGCACAGGCTAAATTGGTATGATTTTACTTGTGCAATAACATTTTGTCAAAAAAATTGCATAAATAATTTCACAAAATATTGTTTGTTTCATTTCTAGTACTCGGAAGAGAATGATAGTGACGAAGAGGAGTACCTGCGTTTCCTATTTGAACTTGATACCGTGGATGAAATTGTTCCACTTCAAGATGTGCGTCCACAAAATCATGCTAGTGATGATAAGAAGGTAACGATGGTGCTGTATATGACTCCCTCCAATCCAGAATAAGTGTTATGGTCTTGGTTCAAATTAGCATATAGGTAAATGGTTGTGTTATAAAATATATTTGAACTAACATGGCATGTTGTACTTTCAGATTGTAGGTACTGAAATAGTAGAAACGCCAAGCTCAACAACTCCAATACTGATACCTCAAAGGTTGGGATGTTTAATATATTGTCTTGATAGAATGATAGTCACTTCGTTGAGAAACAAGGACAAATTCACAACCATAAACAAGTATTTTTTATTACGAAATGTTAAACTATACCATTATCACTTGTATAATGCACATATAATTTAATAAGTTGTTGGCAAAACGTGCCTTGTATTTATCTATGGTGGCAATATTTTTCTATGGGAGTTGAACATGTCTCTTCTTTGATTATTAAGTTTACATCAAAATTGCATTGTTCTACTTCTCACTTGGCATAAATGTTAGTATTTAATCCTAGACAATGCTATTAAGGAAGTATATTGTATTTTGCATATATATAGTAGGTTTAGATAGATTTGCACCATGAGAGCTCAGCATCTTCTCACACTCATGTACTAATCTAATTTTACTACTACACGATTGTGTCTAATATTTTATTGTTATCTATGTTGTATCTGATCTACAAATGGCTCTTCAAGGAAATTTACCTTACAATTAAACATTAATATGGTCTGTTTCACGCATGTAGTCGAGCATCTGAATACTACCTTTTTGGGCGCGTGCATTGCTTCATCGTTAACACAACTAAATCTTAATATCACACATATGTTTGTTTTCTGACACAAGGTTTTTCTACCAGTGGGAAACAACTTGAGAATGGACCCCCTAATGGCCTTGCACGCCATGAGTCATTTGAACGACATTCAAAAGTACCTACCAAGCAACTTTCAAGAGCAGGCACGTTCTTCTCCAAAGTAAAATGTCTATAACTAGGACACACAAAGAACATTTTTAAGTTAACAACTCAATTAATAATTATTATTCATTGTTACTTGTATTATACTTGCTTTATGTTTTTTTAATTTTGTCCAATTGGCATGTACAATGACAAGTGATTATTTTATGCAGTTTCCAATGTTACGTGTATGGATGAATATGTAGAAAAAACAGCCATTCAAAAGGGTCGCTTTAAAGTAACAACGGAAGAAACGGTATGATTTTTATGATATATGTCATGTACATAATTAGATGGTTTTAAGTTATATAAATTGCGTAATGTATAAAGCACTATCATTTCTTATTTGGTTAGTTTACAATATTCTGTGTTTTCATAAAACAAAATCTATGCAATCACTTAATTACCTTTACCTCACAATATGATATGAAGATTTGGATGTTTTTATTGATCATCATTAGAATAAATAAATTCACTTAGAACAAATCTAGGACCTTTAATTTTTTAGAATCACAATCCTGTGCACTGCCTAGATAATCTTGATGCCTATATTTTGGGACCGAAACATATTTGTACATGTTTATGGCATGACTTGCACAATGGTCATCTACATGTCCTACATATGCCATATTCACATCTGAAATACTTATAGTTAATTTATGTAGTTACTCATAAACATTTTTATGATGTAATAGGAAGCATCTACACACAGGGAGAAGGAACTACTCGAACGTATTGCATGTTTAGAGAGGATGTAAGTTCTTCGTGTGAAGAAAACTTTGCTCATTACTTTTACATATTATTCTCGTTTTATAAGGAAATAGCACTTATTCTTTGAGGATCTTTCCTAATCTTGTTATATATTTGCCTTATATAGGCTCCAGGTTACCCAAGATGAGGTTGTGAGGCTTAAAGAAAAGGGTAATTACATTGATCTTCCATATTATCAATTTTCATAGTCCTAATATTTGAAATTTAACTTATAATTGTTTAACAGATGCAAAAGGGTAATTACATTGCTCTCCATGTTTTCTAGGAGAGGCAAAAGGAGCAGTGCCATGCGTCCAACAAAATAGCAAAGTACAAGGGTTGTAGTTACTTAAGGTGGTTCTTTTCATAGCTAGGGAAGAGTTGCAAATTTGTGTAGATCTTATTGTCATAAGAATCTAGCATATGGTGCCACTTTCTTAAAGTAGTTCTCAGTAGATTCGTAGTGCATTAGCTTCATTTATTTCGGAAATAGATTGTGCTTCTAGAAGAGATCCAACGTGATAGTTTACAAATCAATGGTGTGATGTATTTGCACTTACAAACTTGAAGCATGAGGATTTTCCTAGTAATTTAGCACTAATAGATTCTTTACCTTTGATTTTTTTAATGAAAAGGGTGGATCCCGATTTCCTTTTTTAGAAACTAAAACAAAACTGGACCATCTCACACATCATTGCTGACATCACAAAACCTGTGAGAAAGGAACTATAACGATGTAATATATCAAAGACGCCATCCTAGCTAGGAATTACAAGTTATCTAGATCAAAACGATGAGCTCAACATAGGATGCACAATAAAAGGAAAGAAGACTCAAACTAGTCGTCCAATGTCTATCGCTCCTCAGTTTTGGAATACGTGGGGTTCACTTCTTAGTACACTGTAACTGAAATTGTGGAGATGCCAGCAAAAGAGGTGTCTGTTGCTGTGTGGAAAATATGAGGTGTGATATTTGATATGCCACTAAATACTCCTTCAAACTCGGTGGAAAAAATAAGAAGAAAATGATACAACATATAATGATTATTGCCCCTGTGATAAGATAACGCGTGTGAGAAAACCTTAAAAGGAAAAACCCATATGTTAGTTGTTTTTTGCTTTGTGTACTTCCTTTTAAAAAGTCTTGGGTACACCATATGATCTTGTGAAGATATTGTTTTCATTAAAAAAAAAACTTGACGCAAAACTAGAGAGTAAACTTAAAGGAAAATAATGTGCAATATGATGCAAGGACATGTTAATAACAGAGTGACTCCCTGATCCTTGCAAACCTCGAAGTCCTTGCATACCGATTCCGTTAACATACTATTTAAATCTTTGAAGTTGGTATAGACTTTGAGAATATATCAACGAGTTTATCACACTAGTAAGCATGCACGTGCAACGCACGTCTCAAACAAAACAAGTTCACATGGTATAATATTAAAATGATTTTTACAAAAAATTCAGATCGCTACAAAATGTTATCATGTCGCTCAAATTATATTTTCAAAAAGTGTGACATATTTGTGATCCAACACACGTATCATAATCTATAGTAAAAAGTAAAAACATCTATTTTGGATCTAACTTTTATTTTAGTGGGTTCTTTTTACCGAGCCATTTAAATGTGTCTTATGCGCAACGATATGAGCGTGCGTGTAACAGATGATCCAGAAACATGTATCCGCATAAAATTCGCTGTCACATAATAATTGTATTATAATTGTTACAAAAAATATATTTTAAAAACCGCAACTAAGCCTGCCTTGAAGGTTCATCTTTTGAAGCAATGAAGTTTGATCTATAGACATGTTGATAACAGTGTGACTCCCTGATCCTTGCAAACCTCGAAGTCCTTGCATACCGATTCCATTAACATACTATATAAATCTTTGAAGTTGGTAAAGACTTTGAGAATATATCGGCGAGTTTATCACATGACTTAACTTGCGAGATGTTTATTACATATTTATGGGGAGAAAACAATTTTGGAGCACTACAATGATATTGTTGACTATGCAAGACATTTGCATTTGAGCAACACAAGCAACAATATATTTGTAGATAATGGTTGGTGATTCGTCGAAAAAAATACCACACAACTTTGATATGTGCTTTATCATTTTTCAAAGCCGCGTGTATTCACTTGACGCCTCATATTTCATAATGATTGGTGAACGTAAACCCCTAGGTTACGTTTTTGTGGACTTCCATGAGATGGATGTCAACCGAGTAGGTGTTGGAGCATGCGGTACGCTACTCTACCGTCAAATATTTTTTTCTGCGCGCAACCAAGATCATGCTGCTGGGGATAGATCACGGGATCGGGTTATGACTAGACGTGTAGTCACCACAGTGGAAGTAGAGTTGTTGATGCGTGTAGCCGATGAGCCAAGTCGTCTCCTCCTCGTGTAGCCGATCTCCTGTGAATGATCCTCATGGATCCTCCGAATGGCTCCTTGCGCTTCCCTTGAACAATCCGTCCTAGCACCGCAGATGCGATGCCTCCAAGGTATCCACACGTACGGGAAGGAGCGGCGGGCGGCGGACTGCTAGGTCCAGTCGCGCGGCATGGGAGCGTTGGGAGTGGCGGAGGTGGCTGTGTGGGGAGGAAAAAGATCAACCCTAGGAGGTGCACCCACTCCCCTTTATATAGATCTCCGAGGTGGGCTCAACACTTGAGGCCCACTAGGAGTCTACAACCATTCTCCATTCGGATCCAATCCAAATGACCTACAACCCTTAAGTGTGCAACCCTATAGGTTCAAGTACACATGAACACAACCTAATTCGATAGTTGGTAGCGACTCCTAGCAGAACATGCCAACTCCCATGTGTGCGTAAATTCATTTGACGAATCTCGACAATGTGTCATATGCAACATTCCTTTTGCCTGACGATATACGTTGTCAAGTTCAAAGCGAGTACTTGTCACTCTTGTGGTAACTCAACCTCTCTTCTCAAAACCGTGATACAGATTCCCGAATCGGGTTAACACTTAACCCAAGTCGCATGGTCATGCTTTCCAGATATGATTACTCGAGAGGGCACAGAGAATATCTCTCCTTACGGAGGGGCAAAACCCTTCTTGGTCAACCATGTCTCCTGGCATGTCTCACGACTCATCCGAAAGCTACATTTATAACTAACCAGTTACGGAGTAGCGTTTGATAGAACCTAAGTGAGTCGGTCCTCATCCCGAGAACATGCAAGGACCTCAGGTCTATGACATGGCATATAGATCATACTTGAGACTAACAGGTGAAATATCTCGCTTCGTCCCAAAGTGGTTCGACTCAGTGATCTTCATCCGCGAGTCCATACTATCGGTTTAGCATCTCTATGCCCATGACTTGTGAAACATAGTCATCAAACGAAACATATACTAGTCAAAGGGTATGTGCCCGCATAACCTTATTAAGTACGAACCATTAGAACAATCATCATACAATATATAGTTTCACAAACAGGTCACAAACTTATTGATACATATCATTGATGATGTCCAAGGACTCATGAATACATAGGGAAATATAATCATCGCATGATTGCCTCTAGGGCATATCTCCAACAGTAGGAACACAAAAAAATTCCTCGGTTCTGAATTTGTGGGATCTGATGAATGTATGTGGTGATATTTGAGTTCATAGTCATCTGAGATTGAAAGTGTTGGAGAACGTAGTAATTTCAAAAAAATTCCTACGCACACGCAAGATCATGGTGATGCATAGCAACGAGAGGGAAGAGTGTCATCCACGTACCCTCGTAGACCGTATGCGGAAGCGTTATGAGAACGCGGTTGATATAATCGAACGTCTTCATGATCCGACCGATCCAAGTACCAAACGCACGGCACCTCCGAGTTCACCACACGTTCAGCTCGATGACGTCCCATGAACTCCGATCCAGCAGAGCTTCACAGGAGAGTTCCGTCAGCACGACGGCGTGTTGACGGTGATGATGTTGCTACCGACACAGGGCTTCGCCTAAGCACCGCTACGATATGATCGAGGTGGATTAATGTGGAGGGGGGCACCGCACACGCCTAAGGGATCAATGATCAACTTATGTGTCTAGAGGTGCCCCCTGCCCCCGTACATAAAGGAGCAAGGGGGGAGGCCGGCCGGCCCTCTATGGCGCGCCAAGAGGTGGAGGAGTCCTTCGGGTAGGAGTATGACTCCCCTCTTTCCTACTCCTACTAGGAGGGGGAAAGGAAGGGGGAAAGGGAGAAGGAAAGGGGGGCGTCGCCCCCCCCCCTCTCCTAGTCCAATTCGGACCAGAGGGGGAGGGGCGCACGGCCTGCCCTAGGCCAGCCCTCTCTCTTCACTAAGGCCCATAAGGCCCATTATTTCTCCCGGGGGGGTTCCGGTAACCCTCCGGCACTCTGGTTTTCTCCGAAATCACCCGGAACACTTCTGGTGTCTGAATATAGTAGTCCAATATATCGATATTTACGTCTCGACCATTTCGAGACTCCTCCTCATGTTCGTGATCATATCCGGGACTCCGAACTACCTTCGGTACATCGAAACACAAAAACTCATAATACTGATCGTCACCGAACTTTAAGCGTGCGGACCCTAGGGGTTCGAGAACTATGTAGACATGACCGAGACATGTCTCCGGTCAATAACCAATAGCGTAACTGGATGTTCATATTGGCTCCCACATATTCTACGAATATATTTATCGGTCAAACCGCATAACAGCATACGTTGTTCCCTTTGTCATCGGTATGTTACTTGCCCGAGATTCGATCGTCGGTATCTCAATACCTAGTTCAATCTCGTTACCGAAAAGTCTCTTTACTCGTTCTGTAATGCATCATCCCACAACTAACTCATTAGTTACAATGCTTGCAAGGCTTATAGTGATGTGCATTACCGAGTGGGCCCAGAGATACCTCTCCGACATTCGGAGTGACAAATCCTAATCTTGATCTATGTCAACTCAACAAGTACCATTGGAGACACCTGTAGAGCACCTTTATAATCAGCCAGTTACGTTGTGACGTTTGGTACCACACAAAGTGTTCCTCCTGTAATCGGGAGTTACATAATCTCATAGTCATAGGAACATGTATAAGTCATGAAGAAAGCAATAGCAGTAAACTAAACGATCAAGTGCTAAGCTAACGGAATGGGTCAAGTCAATCACACCATTCTCCTAATAATGTGATCCTGTTAATCAAATGACAACTCATGTCTATGGTTAGGAAACTTAATCATCTTTCATTAATGAGCTAGCCAAGTAGAGGCATACTAGTGACACTCTGTTTGTCTATGTATTCACACATGTACTAAGTTTCTAGTTAATACAATTCTAGCATGAATAATAAACATT